AACTTAAAAATGTTAACAAAAGAGACACTCCTCAAGAACAAGAAAAATGTGAGGGCTTGCTCTAGATATCACAGAATTATTACAAGGCTACAGTAATTAAAACTGTTACAATGGCCCAAGATAGAAAAGAGACCAATCAAACTGAATAAAAGGCTGCCAAAGAATTGCTTTTATTTATGAAAACTTGACTTATGATAAAGGAGGTACCTCACAGCAGTGAGAAATGAACAATTATTCAACCATGGTGTTGAGGACACTAGTTACAGAGGAAAAAATGGAACTTGAGTCTGTCCACACCACATATACACACAAATCAAGTCCACATGGATGAAAGATTTAAATGTGGAAGCAAACATATAAAACCATGACTTGAAATATCAGGGGAAGATTTTGTAAAGTATATGATTGTCTAAGCAATATGGTGTGCACCTGAAACTAATACAAAATATTATTGAATGTAAACATAAGAAAAGTAAAAAAAATATATTTTTAAGACTATTAAGCCAAAAAGTATAAAACATCTAGATGTTGGGACAGGAAAGGAGTTCTTAAACAAGATGTAATGTGTGCCAAGCAGAAAACAAAAACAAACAAACAAACAAAATTGATGACACTGACTACATTAAAATTGATACCAGGCCGTCCGGTGCGGCTCAGTGGATTGAGCATCGTCCCATGGACTGAGAGGTCCCATTTCGATTCCCAGTCAGGACACATGCCTGGGTTGTGAGCTTGATCCCCCACTGGCAGCATGCAGGAGGCAGCCAATCAATGTGTCTCTCTCACATTGATGTTTCTCTCTCTCTCTCCCTTCCTCCCTCTCTAAAAAAAATAAAAAATAAAAAAATAAAAAAATTTATGATACCATCGAGAGTGAAAATACAAACTAAGAGAAAGTGTTTATAATATTTACAACAGCCCGGCCAGTGTGGCTCAGTGGTTGAGAGTCAACCCATGCACCAAAAGGTTGCCAGTTCCATTCCCAGTCAGGACTTAATGCCCAGGTTGTGGGCCAAATCCCTAGTGGGGAGCATGCAGGAGGCGGCCAATCGATGTCCTTTCTCATCAATGTTTCTGTCTCTCCCTCTCCCTTCCTCTCTCTCTAAAAATCAATAAAGAAAAGAAAATTTGCCCTGGCCAGTTTGGCTCAGCAGTTACAGTGTCAGCCTGCGGTCCAGAGAGACCCAGGTTCGGTTCCCGCTAAGGGCATGTACCTCGGTTGCAGTTTGTCCCCGACTCTGGTTCGGTCATGCGGGTGGCAGCCACTCGATGTGTTCCTTTCACATCCATGTTTCTCTTTCTCTCTCTTCCTCTTTCTCCCTTCCACTCTATCTGAACAAAAATGGAAAAATGTCCTCGGGTGAGGATAGAAAAAAAAAATTAATATTTACAACTACTATTGCCCGTAAGAAATTTTTTTCCAGATAAAAAGAACTCTTATAGACCAGTACGAAAAATAACCAATCCAATTTTTGAAAGGGCAAAAAAAAAAAAAAGATTTAAGTCTTTTCACAAAAGGCTAGAGATCCAAGTTGGGCCAAGCAGAGGCTGAAATCAGGCTGGATGGTCTTGAGGCAGAGGTGGTGGTGGTGAAAAGGTCTATACCTTGCCCTGGCCAGTTTGGCTCAGCAGTTAGAGCATCGGCCTGTGGTCCGGAGAGACCTGGGTTCGGTTCCCGCTAAGGGCATGTACCTCGGTTGCAGTTTGTCCCCGGCCCTGGTTGGTCGTGCGGGTGCAACCACTCGATGTGTCCCTTTCGCGTCGATGTTTCTCTCTCTCTCTCTCTCTTCCTCTCTCTCCCTCCCACTCTATCTGTACAAAAAATGGAAAAATGTCCTCGGGTGAGGATAAAAAAAAAAAAAAGGTCTATGCCTTAAACAAGGAGGAAAAGCATAAACTATAAACAATTGAAGAAAAGATTAATAATTTAGAACATATTTAAGTTTAGAATTTGTTCAACAAAAGATACCATGAAGAGTAAAGAGCCAGGATTACTGCTCCAGAAATGTCCATAAACATATAAAACAACGTCCAACTTCATTGGGGAAATAGAAACAGAGGCTACAATGAGATACCGCTTCACACTGCTCATGTCAGACCATCTCCACTTTACTGGTGAAAATATGGCAAAAAGACATCTCCCATCCACTTCTAGAAGGAATGTAAACTGATAAAAAGCACTTAAGAAAATGGCATTACCAAGTCCAGGTGAAGATAAACATATTCTGCAATGCAGTAATTCCATTCTATATAAAACAGACTTTCTTGTACATGTGACTTAAAAATCATAAATAGCATACTATTTGTACTGCAATAATCTGAAAAAACTCAATGTCTATCGACAATAGAGAACATTCATATGATGGAATATTGTATTCAATAAGAACAAATGAAATACCAATACATGCAAAAACAAACAAACCATAAAATAAGGAAAATAAAAAAGCAAACGATCCAATTTTTAAAATGGGCAAAAGATTTTAACATTTTACCAAAGAAGATATACAGTTGGCAAATAAACATTTAAAGATGCTCAATATCATTAGTCATTAAGGAAATGCAAATTAAAATTACAATGAGATAACTATTTAAAGAGACTAAAATTAAAAGACCAAGTTGGGAAGAATGTGTAGGAATTGGAAGTCTCATACACTGCTGGTGGGAATGCAAAATGTTACAAACACTTTGGAAACCAGTTTGGAAGTTTGTTAAAAGTTAAACATACACCTATCATATGATCCAGCCATTCCACTCCTAGATATTTATCCAAGAGGATAGAAAGCTTATGTCCATACAAAGCCTTACATGCAAATGTTTTCTGGAGCTTTATCTGTAATAGCCCCAAAATGGAAGTAAACTATATGTCCATCAACAGGTAAATGGATAAACAAACTGTCATGTATCCCTAGAATCTAATACTACTAGGTAAAGAAAAGAAATAATCGTGTAATAACAAGAATAAATTTCAAAATAATTGTGAGAGAAGACATATAAAAAGAGTATATATACTGTATGATTCCATTTATATAAAAATCTAGAAAATGCAAATTTATCTATAACAACAGAAAGTAAAGCAAGTTACATTGCTGGGGAAAGAGGGAGGCATTACAAAAGAGCAAGAGGAAACTTTTGGGGTAATGAATACATACATTATCTTAACTCTGGTTATGATTATGGTTTCAGATATATAAATTCAGCAAGTCAAACACTTTAAATATCTACAATATGTTTTATGTCAGTTAGGCCTCAATAAAGCTGTTTAAAAATCCCAGCAAAACTAAAAGTGTTATTTAGGAATACATAAACAGATGGATAAATTAAAAAGAAAATCAAAGGAATGATTAATTCAAAATTGAAAATAGGAATTACTTGGAATTGGGGAAAAGGAGAGAAGAGCCAGTGGGAGGCACCAGGGACCCTGTCAGGTTCTGGTCCTCATAATATTCCACTTTGAAACTGAGTGCTGGGTATGTTACTATCATTCTTTTAACTACATTTTATGTTTTATACAACTTTTTGTACAGATGATAAATTTCACAACCTAGAAAGAAAGAGTGTGCAGAGGACCACAAAGGAACGAACTTCTATTTGTTAAACTGCACTTTCATCATTGTGGGGCAGGATACCCTCAAAACCTATCAAATAAAATTAAACTCTTTAATGTCTGATCTGTGTCACTGGCTTGAAAAGGGCAAAATCTTCTGACACAGATGAGGAAATGAAAAGATCAAACAACAAAGCTATTGTTCACCACCCTAACTTATGTTTCTGCGCTTATTAATAAGTAGTTGCCCTATCATAGCAGCCTTGAGGTGTAAGGGCCTGGAGTAATCAACATAGAGTTCCTACCAGTTAGAGTAAATTATCTTTTTTGCACTTTTTCTCTAGATCACAACCTTTTCTCCCTTGAAAATATTCATGTATAAGTTTATTCCTCACATTTTTGTTCACTTTCTTACGGTCTTTACCAAATGATTAAAGTACACGCCATATAGTACACACACTGCTGTTGTCCCCTCCTCACTTTGCATCACGCACAATTTTGCGGAGTAGAAGGTCTTGGAAACTCACTTCTGATCACTGCACAGCGTAAGCAGGGTGCTCTGTGCTTTCCAGTGTCATTTAAGAGCTAAACGATTTTGTTTCGGATGAAAAAGAAAGAACTAGGTTTGGCTCTTGGATGAGCTGTTGGATGAGCTTCACATGTCTGCAACTTCATCAGTGAATTTTTAATCAAAGATCTTCAAGGACTGTGGTGCCTACGTCACTTTCCACAACAGCCAGTCAAAGCACACAATTCGTTGGGCTGTTTTATTTTGCTATTTGTTTGCTGCTCCTCAGCCCCAACCCCGGTTCAGCAGCCTAACTCCTGTAATCACTTCACGTAGGGCTAGAGCCTCTTAACACTAGTTCCTTAAAACTCGGCATAATCTTCCGTTTAACCCTCTGGATACGTCCCCCTAGCTACTGACTCAAGGAAGGGAATATTAACACATAGATTTTAAAGGTCTTAAGCCTGAACCGCTTCACGGAGCGCGGGACTCGCACATCCCTTCTCCAACGCCAAGAAAGCGAAGTCACGCCCTCCTTGGCCAAGCCGACTGGGCCTTTAATAAACCCGCCGCTGCCTTCCCGCCTTCCCCTGCGGCGGGCACTTCCGGCCGCGGGGGCGATCGGGAGCGCTCTCCTCGAGCCTCCACCAACCAGCGGCTCCGCCTGACCGGCGCGTGTGCGCGAGCACGTTCGTGCGCAGGTTCGAATCTCCGCCGCTTGGCGGTTACTCCCCAACGTCCGGCCGCACCTCCGTGGCGGCGAGGACAGCGCCCGCCGGCTGTGGGGAACCCGGCCGCCCCGCCCCCCCGTCTCTCTTCCCATCTTCCTGCCGCCGCTTCTCCCCAACTGAGTCCTCACCCTCCCTCGCGCGCTCTGCCCCCGCCCTCCGCAGCTATCGGCGCGCGGCCTCTCGCGCTGGGCGGCTTCCGCCCGAGCCTCCCGGGCCCATGGCCAAGCGGCGTGCGGCCGAGCCGCTGACGTTCCACGTGCCTTGGAAGCGGCTCCTGCTCTGCGACTTTACTGAGGGGCCGCCGCTCTGGATCCCGCCGGCGGCGGCCTCGCATCCCGGGCAGTCCCTTGGCGTCCCGGAGCTGCCCCGAAAGCGCAAAATCGACGCGGGGGCTATGACTGAGCCTTCGGCTTCGCCGAGCAAGCGCCACGACGGCGGGGACACCAACGCTCCGGGCCTCGCAGAGCGCGAGGCCCGCGGCTGGGAGACCGGCGAGCCCCCGCTGCTGCAGCCGCCGACCCTGCAGCCCCAGGGGCTGGGGGAGGAGCTCCGGGGCGCCCGGCCCCCGAGGGGCGGTGGCGACAACGGGGCGGGGCGCGCAGAGTGCCGGCGGGGAGACTGGGGGACCGCACCGCGCCAGGTAGGGGCTGGAAGCGGGCTGGGCGCACCAAAGGTGGGTGGAGTCCCCGTTTTCCCAGGTACTTCGCACCCTGGGAAGGGACAGATCGTCCTCCCCTAGATTCCTGTTCATCCAGACGCCCCAAAAGGCAAAAAACCGGGTTCCCTGCTGCAGGAATGGAAGCGCACCTCCAGGCAACAGCCAGGGCCCCAGAGTCCACCCTTGGCAACGTCTTGGGAGAGTCCGACAAGCTGAAAGCGCTTAGATAAAGCAGGGAAACGGGCCGTCGGTGAGGCGGACCTGTCCCTGCTGCTGAGAGCGACTCGGGGCGGGACTACCGACGGCCCGTGGAACTTGGCGGAGACGTTGGCCCGACGCTACAGCTGCAGGTCAACGTCAAACGTCGGATAAAGGTGTAGCACGCCTTCTTTGGTTTAACAATGAATTGTTTCCAAAGAGGTGACCGATGGGGTAGCTGTCGATTGGACGTCCTTTAGGCATGGTCCAATTTTTTTGTAGAGAGGAAGGGCTTCTGTATCTTGGGAAAGGTATTTTAACTCGCTGTGTTGAATCTGATCCTATGAAAAAGGATTGTTGTTGGAAATGAAAGTCGGCCCTGAGGTGTGTGAGGGTCTCTGGAGAGGGCCCATTCCCGGGGAAATGAGCCTTCCCCATCTCCGCACACCAGATCCGGTTTGTCTAGGTCGGCGTTGTTCAGGATGGTAGCCACTGGCCGCGTGAGGCTGCGGAGCACTTGGAAGGAGATGTGCAGTGTGCGATACAGTCAGAGGTCGTACAGACCCAGGTCTGTCTGGTGGCAGTTTGTGCTCTTAGCTACTAGGGGACACTGACATCATTAAAGGATGTTTTTATTTTTTGGCCCATGTTTATAAGTCGATAATGTGAACAATAGATTTTTTCCCCGTGGGCAAAGAAATAGATGATGTTTTCAACTCTTATTTGCTTATTGAAATGAAATTTTTCTTGGCATCTTTTGAATTACATTTTTATCCCAGTGTTAAGAAATTCTAGAGACTTAATTCTCTAAGCCTTAGTGTCTAAGGCACTGAAGGAATAGCTTAATGAGATTTTCTTACAAACCTGTGCTTTTTGGTAAAGTAACCAGCCATGTGCAGCTATTGAGCAGTGAAAGGTAGCTAATCTGAATAGTGCTAGAAGTGTAAACTACCTTCCAGGTTTTGAAAAACTATACGACAAAAAGAATGTAAATGATCTCATTAATTTTTAAAGTGTTGACTACATGTTGAAATGATAATAGTTTGGATGTATTATTAAAATAAAATAGTAAGATTAATTTCACCTGACCTCTGAATGGGCAGCCTGGGCCTCCCCGCCAGGAGCCTTGAAAGAAGAGACTCAGGGCACTATATGCGGTGAAGGGGCTGAGGGTGAGCTCACGCCCGAGTCACCTGTCTGATCCCAGGTGATCCCAGAAGCCTGGTCTCATACATATCCTTGACCCCTCCTTCCCAGGGCTTGCAAACACCATGTGCAATTTGTGACAAAGAATCCTGTTGGCATCCTGTCTTTGGAAACTCACTATGTTCTCGAAGCCGGGCCACCTGCCTGCACAGTGCAGAGGTGCCACCAGCCCAAAACATCCATAGTTTTGCCAATCACCTTGGCACTAGTTGAACCATCTTAACTGAAACATTGCCTCTCCATTCCACTTATCTCCCCAAACTTGTCACTTTATACTAAATATATGCAAATGTATGTTTTTAGACACCAAAATGGAACCTGCCAAATGAGTGCCTTTCAGAAGTTAACGAGGAGAAGAGGGGTTTGGAGTCCTTCCCGCCTTACCACTTGCCTGTGGTCCCTCAGCCCAGTCCTGTCAGCATAGGGACTAAAGGAGGATCAGGAGTGTAGGGCAAGACTACAGTAATGCTTCCAGGGTGCCCAGGGGAAAGCAGGAGCACATAGTGCTTGTATTCAGTGAAGTGTTTCTCTTGATTTAATAAATGCAATGTCTGTTTTAGTGTATACATTCCTATTTTTCATTAAATTAACTCTATCTCTTTTTCTTTTTTTTTCTTTTTTTTTATCCTCACCTGAGGACATTTTTCGATATTTTGTTCAGATAGAGTGAGAGGGAGAGAGAGAGAAAGAGAAACATCGACATGAAAGCGACACATCGAGTGGTTGCCACCCGCACGACCCAACCAGGGCCAGGGACAAACTGCAACCAAGGTACGTGCCCTTAGCGGGAACCGAACCCGGGTCTCTCCGGACCGCAGGCAGACGCTCTAACCGCTGAGCCAAACCGGCCAGGGCAAATTAACTCTATTTCTAAAGTATATTTGGACTTACCATTAAGAGCAATAAAGCATTAACTCTTTTTGGGGGGGGGGGGTACATGCCCCTAGCGGGAACCGAACCCAGGACTCTCTGGTCTGCAGGCCGACACTCCAACCGCTGAACCAAACCGGCCAGGGCAACTCTTTTTTTTTTTTTTTTATCATCCTCACCTGAGGACATTTTTCCATTTTTTGTTCAGGTAGAGTGGGAGGAAGAGAGAGAGAGAAACATCGATGTGAAAGGGACACATCGAGTGGTCGCCACCCGCACAACCAACCAGGGCCGGGGACAAACTGCAACCAAGGTACGTGCCCTTAGCGGGAACTGAACCCGGGTCTCTCCGGACCACAGGCCGACGCTCTAACCGCTGAGCCAAACCGGCCAGGGCATTATTTTTTTAAAAAAGATTCATTTCAGTCCTGGCTGATGTGGTTCAGTGGTTAGTGTGTGGGCCCCGAGCACCAAAGGGTCTTGAGTTCGATTCCTGGTCGAGAGTACATACCCAGGTTGCAAGTTTGATCCCTAGCCCCAGTCGGGGGGCATGCTGGAGGCAACCGGTGTGTCTCATATCAATGGTTCTCTCACTCCCCTCCCTTCCACTCACCTGTTCTTTTACTTTTTTACTGGTAGTTATTAGAAAAAATTGAAATTACATATGTGGCTTCCATTATATTTCTGCTGGATAATGCTACCTGAAGAAGTATGAACCTAACAAGAACATAACATAGCCCTGGCCAGTTTGGCTCAGCGGTTGGAACATCAGTCTGCGGACCATAGAGTTCTGGGTTTGGTTCCCACTAGGGGCATGTACCAAAAAAAATTAAATAAATAAATAAATAAATAAATAAATAAATAAATAAATACAGATATACTATATATATATATATATATATATATGAAGAACACAACATAGTAGAATAGATAAAGATGTATAGATATCCATCTAGGATGAATAATAGTCATCTTGGGAGCCTGCATATAATTCCAGTGCTGCTTCCTTTGCACAGAGTATTTTTGGAATGCTTTTGAACTTCTGTTCCAATTTTGTACTTTATTGGAACATCAGCTTTACTTCATAGTTACTTGAAACAATTTTATAGTCATTCAGAGTAAGCTGTTAAAGTTTTAAGGAGCCAGTACTTACTTGAATTTATCAATTTTGCTATATTTAAAAACTATGCCTTATACCACCTGGTATCTTGATAAAAATGATCAGTTCAAGTTTTTCTTGCTATTTAGCTTGTTTATATCCTAATACTTTTTAAAAGATTGTCAAAATATTTTAGCCTATGTAAAATACCAAATGTCAGGGAAAAAAACAAAAATAAGTTTTAAGGTATGTGTGTATTTTTTCAATATTTTCCTCACTAAAAGGTAAAAAAATATAAAACTGTTTTCAGACTTTATTTGGTTGAAAATGGAAGAAAATTGTCAGAAGGGATACTGTTGAAAGAAATTCTTTTACATTTACACTACTAATAAGAAATACTTTCATAAATCTATGAATATAAAAATGTACAGATTTGACTGAGTCCATGAAGTACTTTGATTAGATAGAATTAAAGTTTTATATTTGTCGAAGATACAAAGTAAAAGATTGAATAATCTTACTTGAGTTTCCTTTTAATACAAACAAAAGAAAACTGTTTCCTGGAAAAAAAATAAATAAATAACTTTTTCTAAACCATTGATGTACTTTCATTTCTTTTTTTTTTTTCCTAAAGCTCAGTGAAGAATTTTGGCAGTATAACACCTTCCAGTACTGGAGGAACCCTTTACCACCTATTGATCTGGCAGACATTGAAGCTGTGACGGAAGGTAACCTTACAGAAGCAAGGCTTCAGGGCAAGAATGAAGTGGTTGAGATTGACATGGAGTCCTGACAGAGGAGCTGCAGAAACGGGTTTTTCTGAATTTCAGAAGACATTGCTAAATGAATTTGTGTATTCTTAAGGAAAAATGTTATTTTCCGTACTTTATGCGATTTCATTCCCAAACCTGAGAAATGAGGAAAAGTTGTTTTAAAGATAAATGCCTGCCCTGGCCGGTTTGGCTCAGCAGTTAGAGCTTCGGCCTGCGGTCCAGAGGAAGATAAATGCCTGTGTCGCTACTGAAACTCCCAATAGGATTTGTCAGTGATATAGTGCAGTGATAGGGGAAGTATTTTATGTATGCATTCTTAAAGAAAAATGTATGTTTAGATTCTAAATTTGAAGATAACAATCTTATAAAAAGGAATTCCGACAGTTTTAGAAACAGGTAGGAAACACTCGGTCCTCTGCAACAAAATGTTAATTTGTGGTACATGAAATAAATGTTTTATAATAACTTAATAAAATGCTCTTTAATATACTTTATTGACTGTTCATAGTTGAACAAATAGCTGACTTAAACATCTATGCAAACTTAAAATGTGGGGGATTTTTCTGAAAGCTGGTATTTAAAAAGAGCTTTCTAAATGTAAAGTAGTGAGAATTTCAATGTGGATAGCATGTTTGCATAACTTCTATTTGATATTTGTTAAACTACTCTGGTCTGTCAAAAATGGGTAAAGAACAATGAGAAATGAGTAGATGTTCCCCTCCCCTCTTTCCCAAGAGAACTTTTTTTTAATTTCTTGGTTTTGAATTGCCTTGAGGGCATGGTTTTTATTGCTTATTACAATAAACTTGTAGTTCTCAACACTGGCAATACTTCACAAGTCTTTGCCTGGATCCCACTCTTGAGAGATTCTCATTTAATTGTTTTGATGTGGGCCTTAGATACAGCTATGTTTTTAAAGCACCAATCCTCCCTCCCTCCATTCCTCTAACACGCAGACAGATTTGAGGACCACTAGACTGATGGTAGTTTTTCCTGTTTAAAGGAGATAACTAATTTGAGCTGAAGCAATGCCTCTTAATTAGTTTTGTTTTTATTTTGCCCTGTTGATCGCTTTGTTACAACTAAATTATTCTATAGTTACTATTTCATTGTTAAAGTAAGCAGTTTGTGTTTGAGTTGTATGAGTATCACTGATTAATTAACTTTTGTATTCTAGAATTGTTGGCTTTGTAATTAAGTTGTCCTTGTATACTTTTTGTTGTTAATGATATTCAGGAAGGATGATAAATGCCAGTGAGAGGGAGAAAGAACAATGTTTTGTGTGTACTGTAGGATTTAAATATGGGTTGACATTAATAAGAATATTATAGAAGGGAAGGCAAACTGTATAGTATTGTGGTTAAGAGTTAAGGCTTTGGAGTCAGACATGGTTCAAAGTCTTGTACTACCACTTTGTACCTGTGTAACATTAAGCAGGTTATTTTTCATCTCTCAGCCCCAGATTCCTTGGCTGTAAAATAAGAAAAAATAAATAGTATCTACCTCAGAGAGACTATGTTTATTATTAAATGGTGTACTGAGTACTTTACCTGCATCATCTTGTTTAATTCTCATAATGCCCTTATTGTAGGTACAAAAAAATAATTAGAATAAACATGCTTTCTTATAGTTGCTCATAATTCCACTTAAAATTGATACTAGATGTTTCAGGATAACAACTGAAATTGAAGAAATAGCAAGGATAGCAAACAAGTGGGGGGACGCAGTGAAAGTACTGTGGCAACAAATAAAATGGTAAACTTTCTAACCCCTTCTGTTTGACCTGGGGGTAGGAAAGTCATATTTGTTCTTTCCTTTAGTGCCCAGAACAGCACCTGTCGCATAGCAGATGGTCAATAAATGTCAATGAATGAATGGGCATTCTTATCTGTTGGTGTAATACCAGCAATTTTCTAGGAACATGTACAAAAAGCTATGACATTTTCTCAAAAATATGTACTCCAAAGGTCTGTTGCAGAGATCAAACACAAATATGTTAAATTTATTATATAATGATGTAAAGACTTAAGTCAACCAAATGAACAATAGGAGGTTACTTTGACTACAAATCTCAGGACATCATACTGCAGAGTCTCAGTGGGAGATACAAAGAGTAGCTCAGACGAACTTCAAGCATTATGTCAACATTAAAACCAAAAGGTAACCCTGGGTGCTCAGTGGTTAGAGGATTGATCCATCCCTCAAAAGGGTTGCACCTGGGTTTGATTCCCCACCCGGACAGTGTGTCTCACATCTATGTCTTTCTCCCTCTCCCTCCCTCCCTCCCTCCCTCCCTCCCTCCCTCCCTCCCTCCCTTCCATTCTCTAAAAATTAGTGGAAAAAATATCCTCTGGTAAGGATTAAGAACAACAAAAGGTAAATATTCAGCAAGGTAAAGATATGTAAAGATTTATACATATATGTTTACTATATGAAATACAGATAAATATATGCAGGTAGGGTGTGTTTGTACATATATATATATATACATATATATATATATATATACACACACACACACACACACAGTCAAACCTCTGTTCTTGACCTGCTACTATCTTGAACAATTTGGTTCTCAACCAAGTTGTATATGGGGGCGGGGAAGGGGGGGGATCTTGGTGGTTAAACAGAATTTCAGTTCTCAACTTGACAGCCCTTTCATACTGATACATCAGCATGACAAAAAGTGTCTCAGGCCTCAAACAGGAGAAAATGCAAGTCAATTTATTACTAAACCTCCAGTTGTTAACATTTCAGGAAATTGTGCTGTGAATATTTTTGGTTTTTGCTTTTGTTGCAGACAAAATGGGATCATTAGCACAATTTTGAAACATAGAGGCCATCAAAAGTGCTAATATTGCTAAGTGTGTGAAAGAAACTGATCACAGGCCACTGAAGAGGTTTTCGATTTGAATAAAAAGCAGTTAGCCAGTGACAGCATTTTGAGGCAATGACGTGAAAAACTAAGGTGCCCCATGCTGACCTGAAAGCACCCCTGGAACAATTCGCTCAAGGCTAGCAGAGGGTGGTTTGATAAATTCAAGAATGTTTGTAGATTAAATAGTATATTAGACATGTACCATATATAAGAAAGGTTAAAACGGAATAATTTGGGGTTCTGGAATGAATGAATTCAATTTACATTATTTCTAATGGGGAAAAAAGTATATAATTTTTTAACAAATATCCTCTCAAACAGCCTTCCGGAACAAATTAAATTCTAGAACCAAGGTTGCACTGTATATATACATAGAGAGAGAGGGAGAAAGATTTGAAATGATTCCATTCTTTAAAAAAATTGTGTATTGCCACCAGGGCAGCAATGGGCAGTGGCAGTTCCAGTCAAACACCCTGCACCTGTCCCCAAGGCCCCCTTTTCTCTGACTTAGTGAGCCAAGCAGCCCTGCCTAGGCTCCTGTCCCCGCCTAGTCTTTCTCCTGTTACCCTAGGCCCTTCCTTGTTTCACTGACCCCAACTTTAATAAACGTCCTCTAAAATAAAATTTTAAAAGTTGCTTATAAGTTAACCTCAGGTAACTTTGCAAAACTGCATTGTAGTTATGGACATTTAAAGTAGGGCTTTTCTTTGCCCTGGCCAGTTTGGCTCAGCGGTTAGAGCGTCGGCCTGCGGTCCGGAGTGACCCGAGTTCAGTTTCCGCTAAGGGCATGTACCTCGGTTGCAGTTTGTCCCCAGCCCTGGTTGGTCGTGCGGGTGGCAGCCACTCGATGTGTCCCTTCACATCGATGTTTCTCTCTCTCTCTCTTCCTCTCTCTCCCTCCCACTCTATCTGTACAAAAAATGGAAAAATATCCTCGGGTGAGGATAAAAAAAAAAAAAAAAAAAAAAAAAGTAGGGCTTTTCTTTAAGTTGTATACCCTTTACCCAGATTTCTAATATAACATTTTACCACAAAGTGATTATAAAAATGAAATTAACATTAATATAATACTATTATGTTTGGCATGGAAAGAGTGACTTCAGACATCTCTTAAAGGGTCTATATCAAAAACCTACAAAAGCCCTGACCAGTTTGGCTCAGTGGTTGGAGCGTCGGCCTGCAGACCAGAGAGTCCTGTGTTCAGTTCCTGCTAAGGGCACATATCTTGGTTGCAGTTTGTCCCCGGCCCTGGTTGGGGTCGTGTGGGTGGCAACCATGTCTCTCTTACTTCGATGTTTCTCTCTCCCTCTTCCCCCCTCTCTCCCTCCAGCTGTGTCTGAAGATAAATGCAAAAGTGTCCTAAGGCGAGGATAAAAATAAATAAATAAAACAAAAACCTACAAAAGCTATAGACTATATTCAGATTTCACCATTGTCTAACATTGTTTTTCTGGCCCAGTATTCGATCTGTGGTTACTTGTTATGTTTAGTTTTAGTATTTCCTTAGTCTCTTTTAATCAAACAATTCCTCAGAATTTCTTTGCCTTTCATGACCTTGGTACTTTTTGAGAAGTTATTTTATAGGATGGCCCTCAATTTCTATTTGCCTGATGTTTCTAATAATTAGACATTTTTGGTAAGAACTCCATAGAAGTGATGATGTAGCCTTCTCCTTACGTTATACCAACAGGCAGAGGCACTGATGTCAATTTGTCTTGTTATTAGGGATTGTCTGCCAGGTTTTTCTATTGTACAGTTACTGTTTCCTCCTTTGTAAACAATTATTTTGTGGAAAGATATTTTGAGACCATGCAAATACCCATTTCTTATATTCTGCCCACAAATTTTAGGATCTACTGATGATTCTTGCTTGAAATATTTAACTGCTCTTGTATATGTGAAATGGTAATTTTCTATTTTTATTTTATTTTTTACATGTATTAATTAGAAATCAGAACTTTCCTTTCACCCCATTTCTTTCTTTTTTTTTTGTGGTATGTGCCCCTAGCGGAAACCGAACCCGGGACTTTCTGGTCCGCAGGCCGATGCTCAACCGCTGAGCCAAACGGGCCAAGGTGACCCCCATTTCTTTATTCAATTATTTATATCTGTACAGACTCATGGATATATATGAGTTATAATCTGTTACTATTATTTGGTTGCAGAAATTATTCCAGATTTAGCCATTGGGAAGCCCTTCAAGTTGGCTCTTGTGCTCTCCCCTCTTTTAAACGTATTTTATTACTTACTGTGTCAATACTGGTTAACATTGGCAGTGCACTATTTACAAGGCTAATTGATGGAAATCAGTAGTAGTTATGCAACATTGTTATTTACTAAACAATTTGAGCCTTGCCATCCTCTTCAGAAAATGGGGACATTAATATTCACCTCAGAGGCCCTGGCCGGTTTGGCTCAGCGGTTAGAGCATCGGCCTGCGGTCCAGATAGACCAGGGTTCAGTTCCCTCTAAGGGCACGTACCTTGGTTGCAGTTTGTCCCCGGCCCTGGTTGGGTCATGTGGGTGGCAGCCACTCTATGTGTCCCTTTCACATCGATGTTTCTCTCTCTCTCTCCCTCCCACTCTATCTGAACAAAAATATCAAAAAAATGTCCTCGAGTGAGGATAAAAAAAAAAAAAAATATTCACCTCAGAGGAGCAGAGTGGAATAAAATGACGTGAAGGCTGTAGGGACCCCATAGTGGGCACTAAATACATTTCTCTCTTGAAATGCTTGTTTTCACTTTCTGATAGATGATACATCATACATACATACATACATACATACATTCATACATACATGAACTGTTAGTGATCTTTGAAAATACCTGAAGTTGATCGAGAAGATTACTTTGAAAGAATTTCAGCTCTTGATTTATCTGGAGTCCAGATCTAAATAATAATATTCTAGCAATTTGTATTTATTGATTGCTGTATCTTGTATTCTTTTGATTTTACCCTGTGGTAGGCAGAATTCTAAGATGGGCACCAAGATTCCCAGTCCCTGGTGTAACTTCCAGTTACTCTATCAAACACTAATATAGGCACTACTGTGAAGAATTTTGCAGATGTAATTAAAGTTCTAAACCAGTTAACCTTAAGATATGGAGATGATTCAGGTGGGCCTTACCTAATCATATGAACCCTTTATTCTATTATTATTATTATTTTAAGCCGTCCCCCACTACCACAAATTATGCAGTCGAGTTTCCCACATTTGGGGAAATTGCAGGGGTCAGCACATCCAGAATGCAATGGATAAACCTCGCCCTGGGAAAACCGTCTTCATGATCATGGCATCTCCCCTGCCAGGTAAGTATCATATGAACCCTTTAAATATGGGTGAAGAGGTCAGAGACAGGAAGTCAGAGAAGTGCAGTGTGGGAAGAATTCAATATGAGAGTAATTCTTTGGGCTTTGAAGATGGAGAGAACCGTGTGACAAGAACCTCAGAGCATCATCCGGAGGTTGAGTCCCCGTGGCCAGCTAGCAAAGAAGCAAGGACCTTAGTCCTACAACCTTGAGATCTGAACTCGGTCAATAACCTGAATGAACATGGAAGTGAATTCTTCCCCAGTGCCTTCAGAAGGAACACAACCTGGCTGCCACCTTGATTTCA